TTTAAAGCGGATAGTTATATAAACGGTGGATGAAAACATAGCGCTTTCCTAGCTTTTTCTTTTTCATTTTTTCTTTTTTTTTTTAAGTACAAACAAAAGTTCGATTGAGTATACCAAACCCTTATTTGGTGGGAATTAAAATTAGATTTTTAGTAAATTTTTGTAAAAATTAATGAAATGTGTGGTAGAAAAATTGTGAATACATAAAATATGTTATTAAAATTAATTATTGATTTTGATTTAAATTAAAATTTAGATGTTAATTTCTACTAAACATGGACTAAATAAAACGTGTTTGATGCATTACAGCAATTACACATGGAGGGCTTATTTTACTTCACTAACGAAAATGAAAATGACACGTTTTGGAAATATTAGACGGGCAATTTACTCAATGGCCTGATTGAAGGGTATTATAAAGTTAATGACACTGTAATAAGTTGAAATAAATAATTAACCCAATACCACGCCGTCTAGAACTGAGACAGAGTAGGGGTTTCGGCTTTTCGGCAGAATGGAGAAGTGGGGGCCCATAAAAAAACTTGTAACCCTTTTTTATTTTTTTTGGAAAACCCAATTTCAACAGTTTGTCTTCTACAGTTGGCTTCTCCACGCCATTCGCCACGGTTACGTCTGCAAGACTGCAACTCAAGTCTCAACCACTCCTAAAACCTACCGGCGACGGGCAACGGCAAAGTCACATCGTCCTTCTGTGGCGGTCTTCTATTATCGGACTCGTTGGTACTATTTGGTAAGTCATTTATCTTCCCCAAATTCAGTCACGGCATGAATCTGATTCTGATGCTGGCATTCTGCTTCTGTTACGTATTATCTATCAATTTGATTTCTTGCAATGTTTGATATCCAAAATCCAACCGGCCGACTTTGTCTTCATGATTCTGAATTTCTGACGCTGGCATTGTGGCATTCTGCTTCAGTGCTTCTGTTAACTAATTATTATCTAATATCTATCAATTTGTTTTCTTGCGATGTTTTGGGTGTGAGATTTAAATTGATTTCTTTGTCTATTTGTTACAATTTTATTTTTTAAACTTGAAGACATGTTAAATTGATTTCAGTTGGTGAATGAAATTCTTAAATTCATCCATTAATGATGAATGATTAATGATTAATCCTGCATGTTATTCTGTGAAGTAAGCTGCCTGTGACTGTGAGCAATTGTAATCTAGACTCTAGCATTCGAATTTTTGAGTTGGGGGGTTTTTGAAGATAGAAGTTGATGATGATCTGATGAAATAGGTAAGGCTAGGTGATGGAAATATAAATTCATTAGCTCGACTTAATGGATTTAGCTCTGCAGTATTTAATTTTTATGTTCTGGTCTAGTTCTCTCATTATCAAGTGAGCAACTAAAACTCTAGAATTGATAAAGTGTGAATAATGGTTGATGTTAAGTTGAGTACTTTTATTATAAGTTGTTAATAATGATTGGGTCATCAATTTTGAATTTTTAATCTTAAATTAATCTAACTTGAGTCACTTTTTCTCTCAAATTTCAGTAAGTGTTCGCTGTTAAGTGACTTGAATCAAATACCATGGCTCCTAAATATGCGTCGGGAGCTCAAAAAATCTCGAAAACTGCAAGACGAGATATTTCATTTTTTTTGTTTTATTTTTTGATTTTATGTTAACAAATTTAGTTCCTTAAATCTCTTATAATTGAAAAAAATTAGTTGCTTGTTATGATTTATGGGCTCAAAATCTGAATTTCCCCTTGGGCCCTGCAAAACACAGGTCCGGCATCAGATCTCAGAGTTATGGTGGACAGCAATAAGAATCCAGTGCTGACGGCGGAGGCCACTGCTCAGCTACACGAGGGCGTAAATTTGGTGCTCTCCCGATGGGCTGCTCTTCGAATGGCCGTCGAGAATGAGTGGGGTGGTCGTGATTCTGTCCAGAAATCCCAACAACTAGCCCAAATTATCTGTCACGCCCTCACTCAATCCAAAGGTATTTTCTTTGTTCTAATTTAATTGAACACACGCACGTAATTGATGTGTTTTCATATCATTATAATTAGTAAGACCTTGATTGTAAGTGTTAAATTTTTATTGCTCTTAACTTGTGTCTGTGGACGATAGAGATGTATTTGCATTAAATTGTTTTTAGGTTTAAGAATGTACAATATGGTTTGCCTGTTGCAACCATCATGATATCGATTTGTCTAATTTGGTGTTCAGAGAAAGTATACTTTGAAGATATACAGAAAATGCTGGAGGAATCCATGCTCTCTCTCAAAACTGTGATAGAGGATGGGAGCATTGAGGAGGTACGTTCTTGGTGTTATTTGTGGTCTTCAGTTATAGATACAAGAACATGAATACAAGTTGCATGCTTAAATACATGCTGTTTACATACGCTTACTGAAAGCCACGCAATTTGGATCGAATGCAAGGAAAAACTAACAGCTGAAAATTACTGCATAGAATGAAAAAAAAAAAAAAAAAAAAAAAATAATCCACCTATAAAAGTCAATAGTGTGAAATGTTCTGATCGGTAATATTTGTTGTGAAACCTTTACTCGGCCAATTTATTTTGCCTGACCAGTGAACCCTGCACCTATCTGGGGACAGGTAGATGCACACACAGAGATGCCTGTGATTATGATGTTTTGGGGCTTCTTAAATTTCAGTTGTGCTGTCAACAAGAGGTGCTTAAAGCTAAGCCGAATATGCTGATACATGTTACCTCGATCTAATTGTCGACATCGTCAAACCTTTAAATGTTTGATGCCTCAACATTTAATTGTCAAGTTGGATTAACCAATATAATTGTCATCTACTCCTCTAGAGCGTTTGAAATATTGGCATGATTATCAATGATTAATGATGAATGAATATGTTGAACTATGCTTATGCATTTGAAGTCAATTTTTTATTGAGACTATTCCGAATATCTTCTAATTCTTATCTGTTTTCTTTTTCCATTTTTGTTCCTGTGGAAACTGTATTCAGATAGCAGAAAAGTTGATGTTTATGCAAGAAGAATGTGCTGAAGGTAACTTTAACTCAATAAAAATCCTGAAGGAAACAAATACTCCAAGTTTTTCTTATGTCAGACAGGTAATATCACTCTCTAGTGGCTGAACAATTTTTATTATTTGGATCAATATTATTGGTGTTCATGAACCGAGCTTGTTGTATTATTGAATGACAACCCTGGGGCTGGAATGTTTTTTAACAATGAACAATAAATATATGAATGATTATTTTTATTATTATTATTATTTTTTATTTATTTATTTATTTATTTTTTAATTGTGATGTAAATATTGATCATTTAAGGTTGACCCATATCTAGTCATTCTGGTCTTATTTTGTCATCAAATACGATTTGAGGTAGCTATATATATATATATGTACATATAATTAATTTCGAACTGGATTCCCTTTTTGTAATGTGGTCTCAGTGACTGGTAATCATACGGAGTCAAAACTCATGAATGATTCTAGGATTGGAGTCTTAAAATTGTACTTCGCTAATGTTACAAGAAGATAAAAATGTTATTTGGACTTGCAAATTGAGACAGAACTAATCTGTGGTTGCACTTGCATCTGTAACCTGCTTTTCTGATTATTGTATAAAAGCTTTTGGCTGGTACTTCATAAAGGAAAATTTATCGTGATGGATTTGAGAAAGTTCCATGATGATTTCTTACCAAAGACCTCAGCTATTTTTTAACACGGATTAAGGAAAAATGTTCCACGGTTTATAGATGGTTAATGTTTAATGGTAACAGTTGCAATGTTTTCCAATTACTTCCTGTAAATTTCATGTAATATGATGGCCAGTAATTGGTAATTGAACAATTCACTCTATACATGCCAAATGGTTAGCATGACATTGGACATTATGCTTATAAAAGGGTCGACTGTTGGGGTTTTTTCTTTTCATTAATGAAAGAAACGGCTGAAGTTTCTTTTCTATTTGGTCAGGCTCGTAGTGATGATGAAGATGATAGCGATGACGACAACGATCATGATGGTGATAATTCAACAGAAATGACAGTTGATGCTCCTGATTCGAGTTTGAATAAAGAGGACATGATGATTGATGAACCTAGACCCCAGGAAGTGGCTGAAGTAGAAGATGGATGGACTGTAGTTGCATCCAAGCGAAATAAAGGTGGAAGGAACTGAATTATACTCAAGTGTACTTGTGTCATTAAACCTGCGCATCGGAATCCTTAGAATTTACCAGCTTGAATATGACGTTAAATAGGAGATTGCTGGAAAAGTAGTTGTGTCTTTTAGTATGTTTCTGGTAATTTAGTCATCGAAAATGTACTGAGAGTCTAAAATCATAAAAATAAAAATAAAAATTATTCTAATATATCGTGTGAATGATTTCAATGAATTCAAGATGTTGCATTATTTCAAGCCAATTATGGGGGTGCTTGTTTCCCATTTTTATAAAAATGAGAATGAAAAATATAGCCGTTATGAGCTCTACATAAAAGATAGAAATTCAAAGTTGGTGGTTTGATTTGATGGATAACGGTCATATTTTTCATTTTAATGAGAAAGGAATGGGAAACAAGCAAGGGCCATAATTATTTTGACTTTTGAAGTTGTCCGAAAGAGTTTACCATTGTAAAGGTGAATTTCAGATATTTGGGCTATTCTTGGCAAGGCCCACGATCACTAATCCCAAACCCTGAACTAAGGGTGTCAAAAAGGCTCGACGGCTCGGCTTGTGGCTCGCAACCACCGAGCTGAGGCTCAGACCGCGCCTCATTTTGGGGACACGGGCCGAGCCCGAGTTGGCCCATGAGCCTTTAATTAAAAGGAAAAAAACGAAAAANGCACTTTAAAATTAAATGTTAACAACAATAACTACATATTGAGAATGCTAAAATTAAATGTTAAAAATAAAGAGGCTATTGCACCACTTTAAAATTTTTGCTCTTTAGATTTATATATGCTCTTTAAAACCAACCCATAACTGTACCGGCTAGAACCACTCTAACTAATCTAACTAGCCATTTAAAGTTGGTAATTAAAATAACAAATTCTAATAATTGCTTCCAACGGGCCCCCAAATTCAAGTTAGATAAGACTTTCTACTTCATAATTGTACATGCATAGTTGTAAATATCGTTCTTAAGATAGCTTTATTAAATGCATCTGCTATTTGACATATAGAGGTAACATGGAGAACTTCCACTTTCTTTTGTAGATTTTATTTTTTTCTTCTTGCATGAAAGACTAGGTTTGCTACTAGCGTCACTGTACTTAACCAAAATGACATTTTATTGGTATTTGGATTATTACATTTTGAAAGATTTCAATCTTTCTCGATGCATGTCCTAGTCTATTAAGGAATAGATAAAAAACCGACAATGTTGAAACATTTGAAAGGACTTCCATGCACAATCATAAGAAGCAAAAATTGAAGGTTTTAACTCCTGAACGAGCTGCTTTGTTGAAGAATTAGATGAAGGGCTATGTTAAGAAGATAGAATTTCACTGAGTCGAAGGGTTTTACTCCTTTAGTTTCCCCTTCATCAGCACATTTCTGGTAGCCTGATCCGTAGCACATATTAATGTGGCCAATTGTAAGGGAAAAGAGATATTTCTGTTACTTCATATTGTTTGTTTGGAAGAAAACGTGTTGAGAATTTAAACATTTTCTCTTGCATATCATTATCTCCTGTTTTCTCTCTAAAACATATGAAAGTACTTGTTTTAGGAGTGTCATAAATGTCTAGTTATTTTTGTGCTTTGGTAAGTAAATATTCTTGATAAGATTAAGTTCAAACTATTAGATACTTCTAACAACAAAATACAGAACTCTGAAGCACAAAAA